CCTTCTCTAGGTTCTTCTTTATGTTTGCCCTTTCTGGAATTCCTGAAGTTTTTGGATTTCAGGGTTAATGTCTTTCCTCAGTTTGGGGGAGTGGGGAGGAATATGGCTGCTATCTCTTAAGATAATTCTTCTGCTCCATTCTTTCCTCTCCTTCTAAGACTCCAATTACATATGCATTAGATCAATGATTCTCAAAGTGAAATGTAGTATAAGAACTTCTGGAATTCTTCAAGACCCTTTTAAGAGATCCACAGGATAAAAACATTTATTATAAGAATATTCTCATAAGCATTCAATGTAGTTTTCTAGAATCTGTATGATGTGTGATATCACAAAAGATTGAATGCTGAAGCACTTTTGAAGATCCAGCTGTCTTCTATTATATTAAGGAGATTTGCATACAACACACACAAGTCAAATGGTGCCACTCTTCTCACTACTTCTGTTTTGGAAAATATAGTATTTTTATTTCATTTTTAAAATATGTCATTTATGTTAAAATGTGTTATTGGCTGTGTGCCCCCTCCCCAATTCATATGTTGAGATCCTAATGCCTGATCTGTGAGAATGTGACCTTACTTAGAGATAGGGTCTTTGTAGAGGCAGTCAAATTAAAATGAGGTCTTTAGAGTGGGCCCTAAGCTAACATGACTGGTGTCCTTGTAAGAAAGGGAAATTTGGAGACAGACACACACACAGGAAGCATGTCATGTGAAGATGAAGACAGAAATTGGAATAATACTTCTATAAGCCGAGAAATGCAAAAGATTGAAGTAAGCCACCAGAAGCTATGGAAGTCATAGAACAGATTCTTCCTCATAATCCTCAGAAGGAACCAGACCTACTGATAACTTGATCTCAGATCTCTAGCTTCCAGAGCAATGAGACATTATGGTATTTTGCTACAGCAGTGCTAGGAAACTAATACAGCATGTATTTGGCTTATTGTTTTTTAATGAATTAATAAATATTTCTAAAATTCTTCAGTGAACTGAAGAGCTCTTTATACTCTTAAAATTACTGAGAACTCCAAAGGGTTTTTGCTTATGTGAGCTATATATATA